ACTTGGCAGTCAGTCAACTTGGCAGTCAGTCAACTTGGCAGTCAGTCAACTTGGCAGTCAGTCAACTTGTCCACCGTCCCCTCCCCTTTCCTCCATCCCTTGTCCCCCGACCTGCAACTCACCCAGCCGCCTGAGTTTTCCAAACGTGGGTCTCCCAAAAGGTCCCACACTTCTGCACCGTCACAGACTGCACTTTGCACAGCCTCTCCCTCTCCCCCACTCACCCAGACGCTTGAGCACTCAAACTAGGGGGCCTCCCAACAGGTCCTTCCTTGTTCCACACGATCACAGACTGCTCTCCACCAGGTTGAGCCAAATTCCAACTCCCCCTATCCGGGAGTAACAAGTGGGCCATCTCACCTTGTCCCCGTCCCCCCCCCCAACCACTCACCCAGCCGTTTGAGCACGCCGAACTTGGGGTCGTCCAGAAGGTCGCTGTTCTGCACTGCACGATCACAGACTGCACGAGGCCAAGTTTCCTCTTCTCCCTCTCCCTCCCCCCTCACCCTCTCAGTCCCCTCCCTCACTCCCCCATCCCCATTATCCCCCCTCCCCCACGCACCCAGTCGCTTGAGCTTGAGCGCGCCGAAATTGGCATTGGCATCCCCGAGGAGGTCGCTGTTCTGCACGGCACCATCACAGACTGCACGAGGATCTCGTCGTCGCTCGTGAAGTTACCAAACAACACCACGTACAGCCGCATGTCAAACATCGGTGCGCCTCAATCTCCTCTCCCTTACCCTCGGCCCCCCGTGCAACTCACCCAGCCGCTTAAGCACTCCAAACTTGGTATCGCCCAGAAGGTCGCTGTTCTGCACGATGACGGACTGCACGAGGATCTCATCGTCGCTCGAGAAGTTGCCAAACAGCACCACGTACAGCCGCATGTCAAACAGGGGGGAGCCGCTGCTGTCCAGCCGCCAGTCGCTGACGTATGCATGCCACACCCACACCTGCACGCACCGCAAAGAGCGACGGGATGGGGACACAGAGGAACGGAATGAATGAAGCACGAGGCACGAGACAAACAGCACCACGTACAGCCGCATGTCAAACAGAGGGGAGCCGCTGCTGTCCAGCCGCCAGTCGCTGACGTATGCGTGCCACACCCACACCTGTGCAGCACACTCACACAGGGGAAGGGGTGGAAACACAGAGGAACGCAATGAATGGGGAGCAAAGCATGAGACCAGCAGCACCACGTGCAGCCGCATGTCAAACAGCGGTGCACCGCTGGTGTCCAGGCGCCTGTTGCTCACGTAGCCATGCCACCCCCACACCTGTGCACAGCCAATCGCGTTGGGGTTGGCCAAGGAAGAAGAAGTGAGTGAGTGAGTGAGCAAGCGAGTGAGCGAGTGAGTGCTTGAGTGAGTGAGTGAGTGAGCGAGTGAGCGAGAGATTGCACGAGTGAGTGAGTGAGTGAGTGAGTGAGCGAGCGAGCGAGTGAGACATGACGACGGGCATTGCATCGCATTGGATCGATAAGCTAGCATAAATGCATTGCATTGTCGAGCTTGGCGGTATCCAATCTCCCTTCTTGAAGCGCTTCATAACCTTGTGCCCCATTCCTATACTCCTCTTCTCCTGCCACCCACCAATGCACTACCAAACCTCCCTGCCCAAACCATCCTGTTACAACAGACCACTTCTGATCTGAGACGCATCAAGGGACACTTTTCTCCCCCTCCCCCTCTCGCACCTTCGGAAATACGCTTCAGTTCCTTCCCCCCTTTCCTCCCTCCCTCTCACCTGCTCCGGATTGATGCATCTCTTGAGCTTATACGCAAACCCCTGAGACACCTTCTGAGAGACGAGCTGTGAGTACTCATCCGTCCACGCCTGGATGGTGCTGTTGGCGCACAGCAGGTCAAACTCGTAGAACTGGTCGCTGCCCACACACTCACACGCTCCCGGCCCCGTCGGCACCCCTGCATCCCCCGCCGAGGCTGCTGAACCACCACCACGACGACCGCCAGCAGCAGCAGCACCACCACCCCCTGCAGGATCACCAGGAGCCGCATCAGGTGGACCGGCACTCCCAGGAGGCGGTGAGGAGCCGGGGTTAGACTCTTGCGTGACAGCCTGAGCGGTGGCAGAGGCAGCAGCTGCTGCAGCGGCTGATGGGTCGGAGGGAAAGAGAGGGGCGGTTGTGGGACCTTGCCCGTAGATGCAGTTGGAGGGGGGGTAGGCGTTGAGGAAGGTGGGGAGGTCGATGTACTGCGTGGGGAGGCAGCGCTGGTTGAGGCAGAAGGGCGTGCGAGTCCACTTGCAGGAATCGTTGAACTGGCCACTGGTGGATGAGAGGTTGAGGGGTCTGCCTGTGGCCACGTCGCAGATCTGTGGGTTGCCGTACAGGCTGATGGAGGGAAGGGGAGGAAGAAGAAACGGGCGGGAGGGGGGGAGAAGGGCGCAGGGGTGGGGGGGATAGTTAGGGAAAGAAGTTGAGCGCCAGCCTGTGACTGTGTCTGTGTAGGCATGAGCGCCAGCCTGTGACTGTGTCTGTGTAGGCATGAGCGCCAGCCTGTGACCATGTCGCAGATCTGTGAGTTGTCTTGCAATATAGGCTGGTGTGGGGGTTGGGAAGGAAAGGAGGAACGCGGTGGGAAGGAGGAAGGGGGGATTTGAAACGAGGCGGGTTAGAGCGGCCGCCGGCCAGCTTGGCTCATCCACTGGCCGGCTCGTCACGACTCGGGGCGAGCGAGCTCGGCTCGGCTCGGACCCTTGCTCACTCATGCTTCAAGACAAGGAGTACACAGTGTCAGAGGAAGGTTGCGTGCATGCCACATTTCAATGCATGCCCCATTTCAATGCATGCCACATTTCAATGCATGCCACATTTCAATGCATGCCCCATTTCAATGCATGCCACATTTCAATGCATGCCCCATTTCAATGCATGCCCCATTTCAATGCATGCCCCATTTCACTGCATGCCCCATTTCAATGCATGCCACATTTCAATGCATGCCACATTTCAATGCATGCCACATTTCACTGCATGCCCCATTTCAATGCATGCCACAGTCCAATGCATGCCACATTTCACTGCATGCCCCATTTCACTGCATGCCCCATTTCACTGCATGCCCCATTTCACTGCATGCCCCATTTCACTGCATGCCCCATTTCACTGCATGCCCCATTTCACTGCATGCCCCATTTCACTGCATGCCCCATTTCACTGCATGCCACATTTCACTGCATGCCACATTTCACTGCATGCCACATTTCACTGCATGCCACATTCCACGTGCCCAATTCCAAGGCATGCCCCATTCGATTTAAAGGCATGCCCATTCCATTCAAAGGCATGCCCATTCCATTCAAAGGCATGCACATTTCATTCAAAGGCATGCCCATTCCATTCAAAGGCATGCACATTTTATTCAAAGGCACAGACTCACTCAAGAGTAGCCTTGCCGACTTGCGAGCTGTTGTACACAGTGGCATTCACGCTGCGCAGAGACAGCACGCCCAGCCCAGGGGGGCGGGTGCCTTGGGCATATTAGCATATTCTGAGGCGCCCCAAAAGGCATGCATGCACTCACTCAAGAGTAGACTTGCCGACTTTGGAGCTGTTGTCCACAGTGGCATTCACGCTGCGCAGCGACAACATATTCAGAGACGCGGGCGCCTTGGCCATGTTGGGCACCGGCTGGTTGGTCAGCCAGTTGTTGCCCAGCAGCCTGCAGTCAGGGAAGGGAATCGGGGGAGTGACATGCAGGTGTGATCGGGTGAAACCTCCTTTGGAATTCTTAAAAATCTCGCGACGACATGTTCAGAGACGCGGGCGCCTTGGCCAAGTTGGAAACTGGCTGGTTGGTCAGCCAGTTGTTGCCCAGAAGCCTGCAGGCAGGAAAAACGCGGAGCGACATGCAGGTGTGGCAGGGGTGGGAAATGTTTGAGATCTCTCTGAAATTCTCTAAGATCTCAAGACAGACGCCCATGGACACGGGTGCCTTGGCCAAGTTGGGCACCGGCTGGTTGGTCAGCCAGTTGTTGCCCAGCAACCTGCAGGCACGCAGGGGGGGTCACAAAGGCATGAGAGGTACCAAGGGGGGTTATTGGGGTGAGGGGACAGGGATGAGAAGCAATAGCTGGGTAGACGGAGGCGGGTGCCATGCCCATGTTGGGCATGGGCTGGTTGGTTAGCCAGTTGCTGCCCAGAAAGCCTAGCCTGCAGGCAGGGGTGGGGAATGTTTGATATCTCTTTGAGATTCTTCTGAATCTCTCGACAGATTGCCCAGGGAGGCGGGTGACGGGTGACCTTGGCTGTGTTGGGCACCGTCTGATTGGTCAGCCAGGTGTTGCCCAGCAGCCTGCAGGCAGCAAGTGATTCAGAGACGGGGGTGTGGCAGAGCAGGTGCCAAGGGGCAAGAAGCACCATGATGCGGCCGGTAGAGGCGTGAATCAAGCGGCTGGTACGGTAGAGGAGTGAGTCGCAAGCGGCAGGTACGGTAGAGGAGTGAGTCGCAAGCGGCAGGTACGGTAGAGGAGTGAGTCGCAAGTGGCCGGTACGGTAGAGGTGTGAGACGCAAGCAAACAATGGGGCGGCAGAGGAGTGAACGCAACAGGCGAGCGGGTTCAGGGGGGAAGAAACTGGAAGAAACGGTGTCTCCGGTGTAAGGCAAGGCATTCAAATATGCAGACTTGAGGGGGTGGAGTGGATCCAGCCACACCACATGCCTGCTGTTAGGGCTTGTTCTTGCAGCGTCTCAAAAAGAAAACCACCAAGGCAACCAAAGGATCTCGAAGCAGTGCTCTCGGCTATGTAGAGAGTCTACAGGGTGCTTACATGCCCTTCAGGTCTGGCATTGAGAAGAGGCCTGCTGGCACAGGCGGCCATATTTGATTGTAGCTCAAATCTCTGTAAGAGATGCGATGGCATGGGTGATACATTGCAATGAATGCAACACGGAGGGGAAACACGTTACCGAGTACAGAGAAAGCAAGGTATGTTAGGGTGGAAAAAACGCATGAGGGGGCACGTTTTCTAAGAATGTTACACAATGTGTATGTTTCTAGGATGTTACACACACTCACAGGTACTTGAGGTTTCTCAGGGTAGTGATTGCATCAGGCAACGGGCCTGAGATGTTGTGAGATGACTTTTAAGTCGACTCGAAAGGATGACTCTCAAAATGACATCACATAATCACACTCACAGGTACTTGAGGTTTCTTAGAGTGGTGATCGCATCAGGCAACGGGCCTGAGATGTTGGAACTCCGAATCACCCTGCAAGGGGAGCAGCACATGCAGAAAACCAGCACAAAGAAATTGCTACATCAGAGGAAAGGGGGTGAGGTGAGTGCAGGTGAGAGGAAAGGGGGTGAGTGCAGGTGAGAGAAAGGGGATGAGTCCAGGTGAGAGGAAAGGGGGTGAGTGCAGGTGAGAGGAAAGGGGGTGAGTGCAGGTGAGAGGAAAGGGGGTGAGGGTAGGTGAGAGGAAAGGGGGTGAGTGCAGGAGAGAGAAAAAGGGGAAAGTGCAGGTGAGAGGAAAGGGGGTGAGTGCAGGTGAGAAGGAGGGGGTGAGTGCAGGTGAGAGGAAAAGAGCGAGAGAAGGCGAGAGGAATAGTGGTGCGTGCAGTAATATGAATAGCAGTGGTTGTAATGAGCAAATTCTCAAAACAGAGGATACAGGCAGACTGCGACTGACAGGAATTCAAGGCTTTTGAATCTGGAGATGTCAGAAGGCAGGGAGCCAGAGAGTGGCATCTTCACCAGATTGCTGCACCGCACAGCGCAACACAAGGCAAAAGAATGTGGGCAGAGGGGAGGGGCGGGCAGTTGTGGGAGGCGAGCAGATGGGAGGAGGCAGGGAGCCAGAGAGTGGCATCTTCACCAGATTGCTGCATAGCACAGCGCAGGCAGGTACAAGGCAAGGGGAATGCGGGCAGAGGGGCGGGGCAGGCAGAGGGGCGGGGCGGGCAGAGGAGGGGGGTGAACAGATGGGAGGAGGCAGGGAGCCAGAGAGTGGCATCTTCACCAGATTGCTGCATAGCACAGCGCAGGCAGGTACAAGGCAAGGGGAATGCGGGCAGAGGGGCGGGGCAGGCAGAGGGGCGGGGCGGGCAGAGGAGGGGGGTGAACAGATGGGAGGAGGTAGGGAGCCAGAGAGTGGCATCTTCACCAGATTGCTGCATAGCACAGCGCAGGCAGGTACAAGGCAAGGGGAATGCGGGCAGAGGGGCGGGGCAGGCAGAGGGGCGGGGCGGGCAGAGGAGGGGGGTGAACAGATGGGAGGAGGCAGGGAGCCAGAGAGTGGCATCTTCACCAGATTGCTGCATAGCACAGCGCAGGCAGGTACAAGGCAAGGGGAATGCGGGCAGAGGGGCGGGGCAGGCAGAGGGGCGGGGCGGGCAGAGGAGGGGGGTGAACAGATGGGAGGAGGCAGGGAGCCAGAGAGTGGCATCTTCACCAGATTGCTGCATAGCACAGCGCAGGCAGGTACAAGGCAAGGGGAATGCGGGCAGAGGGGCGGGGCAGGCAGAGGGGCGCGGCGGGCAGAGGAGGGGGGTGAACAGATGGGAGGAGGCAGGGAGCCAGAGAGTGGCATCTTCACCAGATTGCTGCATAGCACAGCGCAGGCAGGTACAAGGCAAGGGGAATGCGGGCAGAGGGGCGGGGCAGGCAGAGGTGCGGGGCGGGCAGAGGAGGGGGGTGAACAGATGGGAGGAGGCAGGGAGCCAGAGAGTGGCATCTTCACCAGATTGCTGCATAGCACAGCGCAGGCAGGTACAAGGCAAGGGGAATGCGGGCAGAGGGGCGGGGCAGGCAGAGGGGCGGGGCGGGCAGAGGAGGGGGGTGAACAGATGGGAGGAGGCAGGGAGCCAGAGAGTGGCATCTTCACCAGATTGCTGCATAGCACAGCGCAGGCAGGTACAAGGCAAGGGGAATGCGGGCAGAGGGGCGGGGCAGGCAGAGGGGCGGGGCGGGCAGAGGAGGGGGGTGAACAGATGGGAGGAGGCAGGGAGCCAGAGAGTGGCATCTTCACCAGATTGCTGCATAGCACAGCGCAGGCAGGTACAAGGCAAGGGGAATGCGGGCAGAGGGGCGGGGCAGGCAGAGGGGCGGGGCGGGCAGAGGAGGGGGGTGAACAGATGGGAGGAGGTAGGGAGCCAGAGAGTGGCATCTTCACCAGATTGCTGCATAGCACAGCGCAGGCAGGTACAAGGCAAGGGGAATGCGGGCAGAGGGGCGGGGCAGGCAGAGGTGCGGGGCGGGCAGAGGAGGGGGGTGAACAGATGGGAGGAGGCAGGGAGCCAGAGAGTGGCATCTTCACCAGATTGCTGCATAGCACAGCGCAGGCAGGTACAAGGCAAGGGGAATGCGGGCAGAGGGGCGGGGCAGGCAGAGGGGCGGGGCGGGCAGAGGAGGGGGGTGAACAGATGGGAGGAGGCAGGGAGCCAGAGAGTGGCATCTTCACCAGATTGCTGCATAGCACAGCGCAGGCAGGTACAAGGCAAGGGGAATGCGGGCAGAGGGGCGGGGCAGGCAGAGGGGCGGGGCGGGCAGAGGAGGGGGGTGAACAGATGGGAGGAGGCAGGGAGCCAGAGAGTGGCATCTTCACCAGATTGCTGCATAGCACAGCGCAGGCAGGTACAAGGCAAGGGGAATGCGGGCAGAGGGGCGGGGCAGGCAGAGGGGCGGGGCGGGCAGAGGAGGGGGGTGAACAGATGGGAGGAGGCAGGGAGCCAGAGAGTGGCATCTTCACCAGATTGCTGCACCGCGCACCCACAAGGCAAGGGAAATGCAGGCAGGGGGGGAGAGCGGGCGGAGGGAGGAGGCAAAAAGACTACACGGTGGATCTCCCCTCTTCCCCCACCTCCCCCAGTTTTTCCTCTTCCCAATACTCAGTCGTCAGGGCAGGGGGAGGACGCGGGGCAACAAGGAATATGGGGCTGAGAGAGAAGCTTAATTAAGTTAGTCCAAATGATGGCAACGCCCATTGCTTCAACCCGTTGAGTTAAGCGATGCATAATGCACACTTTTCGCTATTGGAAATAGATTTGCTCGATGCGATGACAATGGTGCGTTGCCTTTGCGCACCCACTTCTTTGAGATAGGTGTGCGTGGCCCTCGCACGCACACGTGTTTCGGCTTGACCTTGCACGCACATTGCAGTGATGGTGGTGTTGTCTTTACACGCACATAAAGTTGGTCCACCCAGAGCACAGCAGTGGCGACGACCAGACGAGCGCGCTGGTGGGGTCTAGACTGCTCCCCAGCGCCACAAGAGAAAGGCCTGCCATGGTCAGGGAGAGAGGAGAAGAGGGTGGGAAGGGGAAAGGGATTTGAGGGGGTGGAGATGGGTTGAGTCGACTCTAAAAGGCACAGCAGCGGCGATGATCACTGCTGGGATCCAAACTGCTGCCCAGCGCAGAGGGGGAGAGGGGAAGGGGGAGGAGTGGGGGAAGTTTGAGTCGACTAGGAAAAGCACAGCAGAGGCGAAGACCACACGAGCGAGCTGCTGGGATTCAGACTGCTGCCCAGCGCCGCAAGAGACACGCCTGCCATGGCCAAGGGTTGAGAGTGGTTGGGATGTACGTGTGTGGTGTGAAGGGAAGTGGAGGATGGGTGAGGTCCGGAATGTGGCGTTGTGTGGCGAGAGCCACACTTGGGAAAAAGAGGAAAGGGCGAGAAAGGGGTTCAGACTGGAGGTGGGAAAAAAAAAAGTGGAGGGAAAGAAGAATGCGTGCGTGACGATTTGCAACGTGAAAAGCGCGTGAGTAAGGCAAACAAACTCATTGGATGTTCAGTGGAGACTTGATTCAACTTTGCATCTGCACAGTTGTTCCCTTTGAAAGCCTCAAGCGGTGGAGTCGGAATCTGGCTTTCCTTTTCTTCCATGAAACAAATGGATTCAGCACCTTGCATCCACGCTAGAGCAGCCCGCAACCCTAGCTTTCCGAAGCGGTCTTCCCGGCGTTGTTTTTACGAGTCATGTGTCAAAAAGGGGTGGCAAGAGTCCTCAAAACGGCTGACGAAGACATCAAGATGACTAACGGAGTGGTCACGACAGCTGAGGTCTCATAACGATGGCTGACGGAATCGTCTCCGTAACAGAGCTTTCAGAACAGTTGACATTCACGCCGGCTGACAGAACAACGACTAACGGAGGCAATACGGCAGCTGACAAGTGCTTATCCAAGCGTTGTGGAGCCCTAAATGAAACTGAGACTACAGCGTTTTGAAAAAAACTCCTACTTGGACCGTACAGTTAGTTGAGAGACTTGACAGTTGCGAGCTCTTCTGAACTACCAGCTCTTTATGCATACACTCTCGACCGTCTCGTCGCATCCCGCTTTCAAACAGAAACATTAGTGATGCCTCCCGGGAAAACAATCAAAGGGTCTCGGAGAATTTAGAAAGCAGAGTTAATGGTTTTCACGTACGGTCGTTAGACGAGACGGGTCGAAACGCGCACAGCACGGAATGGCTTTTGAGTCAGCTTAAGAGTCACCGCATCTGTGGGTCTCACGTACGGTCATTAGATGGGGACTGTGAGTCGACGGGCCGAAGCGCGCACAGCACGAGCACCGCGACGGAGAGAAGCGCTTGCGAGCTAGCGATAAGAAGCTTCCGGAGGATAGAAGGAGTCGCGTGGCAAGGTCGTGTCCATGGCGTGGAATAGCGTTGACGCGTGAATTCTTGACATTCTATCGACGACGGTCTTCTGCTTCCGTTATGCCGTAGACTGGTTCGTTGTAATAAATTACAAGAATCTACCGAAGCCGTCGAAGCGCCTACTTCCCGGCTATGATTGTCGTGCAGTGCCATGGGAACACCTCTAGAGGAACGGCGGCACGTGACGAGACCTGATGACTGAAAAAACGGCAACTTACGAAGCGCGAGTCGGCAGCTGGATTCGACAAGTTAGGATTGTGACTACTGGAGCTAAGCTAAGCTTATTTGAGTCGTGTCTGTCCATAGGATGTCAGGCAGCGACGCTCTGACACCGATAACTAAGGGAAATACGGTATGTCGAGACTCTTCGACTTGATGCCTGCTGCAGTGATAAATTTTTGCTCCTGCGGTCTCCTGCTACGCCCAACAGATGTGCCTTGCGATTTTCCTACGGCCTGCAGAGGTATGTCTGGTGCTACTGCTGTTGATTGAAGTATGCCTTCGTGATGTATGCCTAGCATCTCATGTTTCTGCCTTTTCCCTTGTGCCTGCTGTTAGCTTTGGGAACTCCTTTGACACAAACCTTGCCTTCCGAGCCCAAACCTTTCCCCAAGCCTGCCAGACTGAGC